GGGGGGGGGGGGGGGGGGGGGGGGGGGGGGGGGGGGGGGGGCGTACTCTTATGCTTTGCATGCCTTAGCGGTTAGACCATTGACCACGCGTCCTCGAGAGGACGGAGCATTGTTCCCACAGGACCGATCACCGATGGCCAATCGTTCCTTCCTACTTTGCCAAAGGTGGCTCAAAAATGTCTTCCCTAGTCTGTCTATCCTACCGATGTCACTTCCCGCCTTTTCAAACCACTTCCTACTCCCCAGTACCGCTACCGTCCTCTCCTCTCTATTCCATGCCTCAAACATCTCCCTGTATGTCCCTTGTATTCTTCCCAGCTCAGTCATGTACACTTCCCTCTCCTTTTCGTACCACGGACATTCCGCGACTACATGAACACTGTCTTCGCATTCGAAGCCGCAATCACATTTGAACTTGTCGTCTTCGTCGTCTACCGTCCTATGTCTTCGTCGACGTTCGCGAAGGCCTATGTCCCCGGTCCTGAATTTGACCTTAAGCTTTGTCCCTGCATCCATTGGTCCATGTAGGTAATCCTTGAACCCTATTCCTTCTTTCAACATTCCGTACACTTCTAGACCCTCCTTATCCTTGGATTCTTTCCTTAGATTCTGTTCTTCTCTGTCGGCACAAGCAACAGATATCTTCTTCTTGAACCCCTGTAGACCCTCCGTTTCCAGCGTTTCATCTTCGTTGATGTCCAATCCCTTCCATACGTCCTCTACAACCTTGACCCATTCCGTGGGTTGTCTACCCCTCTTTCTGTTTGCCCACTTCGCCTCCCATACTATTCTCGGCAACCTCTCCTCTCCCATCCCGCACATGCGGTACTGCCATGTCAGCTTCCTTACGTCTCTTCCCGACCGTAGGGATTGGATCCCCAATTCTGCCCTGACTGCTGCATTACTTGTGCGCTTGGAGCATCCTAGGATGATTTTCGCTGCTTTCATCTGCGCCGCCTCGAGTTCTTTCACTACCTTCTTATTTCCTTCCCATACTTCTCCGGCGTACTCCAGCGGCGGTACGATTACGCTCTTCAAAACCGTCAATTTGATGCGTGTATCAAGGTGCCGGTTTGCGAGTATTGGGTGAAGCTTCCCTGCTCGTGCTTTGCCCTTTTCCGCTACCTTGGACATGTGTGCATTCCACGAGCAATCTTTTGCGATCTCTACTCCGAGGTATGTGTACTGGTCGACTACTGCAATCTCCTCGATCCCCCACTTCCATCTATGTTCTACTGGTTCCTCCCTGCCCTCGTTGCATACCATGACGGCACTCTTCGTAACGTTGGCAGACAATCTCCACTTATCAGTAAACTTCTTCGCCGCGTCAATTTGCAGTTGCAGTCCCTCAGGGGTGTCCGACATACCAACAAAATCATCCGCAAACAGCATTCCTGACACCGAAGTTTCCGTGTCCCCTACTTTTACTCCCTTCCGAACTGCCTCTACGACTTCCAACAGATCGTTGATGAACACCTGGAACAATGTTGGGGACAGCGTGCAACCTTGTGGGACCCCTTGCTCAATGTCGAAGAACTTAGACAGTTCTCCGTCTAGCATGACCGCGCTTTTCGTACACTCTGTCATCTTCTTCAGCACCCTCCACATTTTCCCCTTGATCCCGTACTTGGACAGTTGTTTCCACAGCCCATTTCTCCATACGGTATCGTATGCCTTTTTCACGTCCAGGAAGAAGCAGTACGTCCGCTTGCCCGCCCTCTTTCTACCTTGGATGATTCTCCCTACCGTGAATGCGTGGTCTACGCACCCCCTCTTCTTTCGGAAACCTGCCTGGCCCTCACTAATGCTACGTTTCTTCTCCAATACTCCCACTATCCTATCGTTCAGCAGCTTGCAGAACACTTTTCCTACTGTGTTCAACAGTGTGATACCCCTGTAGTTTCCTGGGTCAGTCTTGTCTCCTTTCTTAAACAAGTTCACAACCACTCCTTCCCTCCATCTACTTGGCGCATACTCGTTTTTCCACACCCAGTTGTACAGCAGTACCATCAGCTCGATCATCCCCTTGCCCCCAAACTTCATGAACTCGTTTACTATCCCATCCGCCCCTGCTGCTTTGTGGCACTGCAGCTTGTTCACACACGCCTCAACCTCGTCCTCAGTGAACTCCTTTTCTAGTTCTACGTTCCCAACGTCTGCCTTCGATGTCTCTTCTTCTTTCTGGGCCCATGCGTCCACCTCCTTCTTAAACACTTGGTCAAAATCTTCATTCTCCGAAGGCACTCCAAGTCTCTTGTAGTGTCCTGCTAGAACTTCCCTTTTTCCCTTCCCACTGCTGACTAGTCCACCGTTCACACCTCGCAATGTTGCTACCCCTGTATCCCCCCCTTGCGCGGTCTTTTTTACCATCCCACTAATCCCTTCCCACATCTGCTTGACGTTCCCCTCCAGGCCTCCGTTGGCCTTCTGCACTACTTCGTCCCAAATGCTCTTTTTCTTCTTTTTCACTAGTCCCTTCACCTGTTTCCTCTTGGCCCTGTACTTTTCCCAACTCTCTTCAGACCCCTCACCCAGGTACTGCTTGAAGACTTCTCTACGTTCCCCTATTTCTTCTTTCAGCTCGTCATCCCACCACTTAACCGATACCCCACATCGTACCACCTTCTTTCCCACTACTCTCTCTGCCGTTGTGTTCACTATGGACTCCCATCCTTCAATCACCCTGTCCCCTGCTGCTTGTACGTCTACCTTTCCGTCTTCGACGCTTCTCAGCAGTTTCCTGAAGGGTTCTACACTACCAGCCAATCCCTTCTGGAATTCATCGCGTGTCCCCTCGTCTCCCAAACGCTCTACTTTCCACCGGAACACTTTCCTCTTTTTCTTACTCTCCGTCTTTCTAGATCGGTCGATGTTTGCCCATATGAGGAAATGGTCGGTCGAACCTATATCTATCGCACTTACGTGCAGCTCCGGGACCTGTGTGCTCCCCCTATCTACCAGGATGTAGTCGAGGATCGAGTATTCATTGCAAACTGCCCTCTGCCTGGTGAACTCTGGCTTATCGCTTTCCTTCCTACCGTTCAACACCATCAGCTCGTTGCTTCCCAAGAATTCAAGCATCCTCACTCCGTTGTCATTCACTTTGTCTTCTCCGTGCTGCCCGATCGCCTGTCCTCTACTGCAAGCTTTCCCTACTCTGGAGTTGAAATCGCCCACCATGACAACTTCTCCCTTCCTACTGAACCTCTGGACATCTTCCCCAATTTGTCCGAAGTTCTCCTGCGCCTTGCTTGCGACTTTCTTCGACGACGGTGGGACGTATACGTTCCCTAGAAACAAATCTTTCTCACCCCGCTCCCCAGGTATCTTAAGCCATAGGCTTTCCTCGAACTCCGTTTTCACCACTACTTCCACCACGTCATACAAGTGTTCCTTGACCAGGAATCCGACTCCCCCCTCCCCCCTTTTCTTCGGGTCTAAGCCCTTTCTTGCCTTCCCTACCCACCGGTACTTCCCTATTTTGCTTACCACGTCCCCATCCTTCAGTTCCCACGTCTCTTGGATCCCCACTACATCCAGATCGCTTTGTTCTACTTGGTCCACTATTTCCAACCGCTTGCGCTCACTCCTTGCGAACCCGCACACGTTCCACGACCCCACTCTCAGCTTGTGCTTTTCCCTATTGGAGATTTTGCGCACTCTATCCTTCGCCTTCCGCTTCTTCTCGGCGTTCTTCTGATTTGCCTGCTCGTCTCCCCCCCCCGGTCTCTTCTTCGCCTCTATCGCCCTCGCCTCCTGTCGCCTTACCTTCTCTGTTCCTATCATGTTCGCGACGCAAACCCTCCATCCAACCTTCCTTACGTAGTTCGACAGCTTCTCGATGTCGACCCCCAAGCACTCTTGGCTGTCTCCCTTGGTCAATTTCACCCGGAAGTGTTCATGCTCTCTGCCTACTTGGGCAGCGGCAGGGGGGGGGATATTGTATGCCAGGTCACAGCTTGTCCCTGTCCATCAGCACTCGCGATGCGCAATCGTTTCAGACTTGTCAATACCACCGGCCGTCGTGATCCCTTTATGCCCACACCGGCCGCTATGTCCTCCCAGTTACCTCCCCGTGCTTAACATGAGCACTCCCCCCTCCTCCCCCCCTCCAACAAAT